CCTTGGTCCCATCGAGTTACTTCTGAGGAGCACTGCCGGTGTAGTGTGTGTTATATCGTGCTGCTAGCCAACAGGTCAGTGGTTCTAATCCACCAACCGCTCTGTGGGAGAAAGATGGGCAGTTTCTTCCTATTAAGACTGGAAACTCCTTGGCGGGAGCTGTGAATGGGATAGGACTCGGTGGCAGCGCAGGGCATCTGAGGTCCCTGTTGGTGAGAACGGCTTGGTGTTGCATCCATAACCCAAAGGCTGCCTGTGCCGACCCACCGAAGGGGTCTGTACAACAAAGGGGTCTGGCGTCTGATTCTTAAAGGCAGCTGCTGCTTGGTATAGAGTCAAGTCCGACTCACACCAGCCCCTTGTGTTAGGAGTTGAAGTGCCCTATGGGGTCACAGCCAAGCAAACCCTGGGGAGCGGCTGTGCTCTGGGACATAAGCCTCGCCAGGAGTTGGAAACAACTTGATCGCAAAGGTGTGTGGGCAGCTTGGCTGATCCCTTTCCAGCCTACAGGCTCACTGCCTGTCCAGCCCTCAGACGTTAGGTCTTTCCCTCTTGCTACCTGAGTAGTAAGTGTTTGATTTCTACTATCTCCTTCCTCCTGGGAAACCCAGGCCCTTAGCATCAGCAAAGGGCACAGAGAGGCATGTGCAGGGACCGCTCTGCATGGTACCCCAGGAACAAAGCCACAGGGGTGTGGAAAGGAAGGACCCAAACGTCAATGCTTTGCGTGGATTTATAACCCAAAGCCCCACCTTCAGTGACATCACCCTGCTTACAGCTCACAGCAACCTCCCATCACTAAGCCACTCGCTAATCCACACCCCCATCCCTGTGGTTGTTTTTGTTTTAATTTGTATTTTATATTGGTTTGCATACACAACACATACTGTGTTTCACACCTTCCTTCATTCACATTGAGTTTCATGCAATCATTCCCATCCACTGTGTTTTATAATATGAATTCCCCATGGAATTACACTCACCCTCACCCTGTCCTTCCAGATCCCTGCTGGCTCTTACCCATTTCCTTGACCCCCTCCTCCACCACCCACCAAATTTGTGTGACCCTGTGATTTCCCCCTCCTGCCCACCGTCACCCTTCCGCTCGCACCCGTTCTCCCCTGGGGCCCCCATACATATTTTATTAGTTATGCTTCTATTTTTACAAGAATGGTTTTACGCAGTATTTGTCCTTATGAGACAGAGCTCGCTCACTCAGCATAATGCTCTCCAGTCTCTCCCAAGTTATGTAGTACTTTTCTAACTCATTGCTCCTGAGTGCTGCGTAGTATTCCATCATGTGAATGTATTACAATTTCTCAATCCATTTGATTGTAGTAGGACACCTGGGCTATTTCCATGTTCTTATGATTATGAGTAACACGGCTATAAACATTGGTGTGCAAATCTCCATCTGTGTCTAATTTCCTTGGCATATATTTCAAGCAATGGAATAGCTGGGTCATATGGAATTTCTATGTTCAGCTTTTTGAGGAAAACACCAAACTGCCTTCCAGAGTGGTTGTACCATTTTACAATCCTACCACCAACGATGTATGAGAGTTCCAATCTCTCCACATCCTCTCCAACTCGCTAACTGTCCTGCTAAACTCTGCAAGGCTGTAATCTTAACAGGAAGGAATTCACTGCCTCAGCTTTCTCTCACAGAGAAGCTGGTGGATTTGAACAGCTGAGCTTTTGGTTAGCAGCCCAACCCAACATGTCACCCTCTGCACCACCAGGGTTCCATCTGTAAATTTGTGAGTGGTAAAAATAGGCGAAAGGGTGAGGAGTGCTTGAAAGAGAAGGCTCTTTCTCCTTACCTCCCTGCAGTCCACACTGGGGGGGGGGCTTTCTTGGGGATAGTGTGATGACCCAACAGTGGTGATTAAAGACCCCGGCTCTGTCTAACAGCTTATGATGGGAGTGGGGATGGAGTGTGGGGGTGTGGCCCCATCTCAGCGAGGAGATCCCCTTGAGTGTTTAGAGAAAGCTAAGAGAAGAGACTTGGGCAAGAGAAAGAAGAAACTGAGTTGGAGGTATTTTTTGCTCCACTTTCTTGGGACGTGGTGACAACGATGAGTAGAAATTGCAGATGACAGGAGAGAAACATTGAACTTGACATGTGATATTACAGGAGAGCAGTGACGCGGGTGCCCTGGCCACGGGCACCAAGCGTGAGGCCTGCCTGTCACTTGCTGCCAGGCTTCTGTAGCGTGTACGGTTTCCAGGGAAGACTTGGCCTTTGAAAGCGCAGGAGGTCAGCTCTTCCAGCCTCTTCAGCCCTGGGGCACTGCTTGATTCTGGAGTTTTCTCACAGTCCAGTGAAGCCAGGATCAAAATGGCCATGCCAAAGGACCAGGAGCCAACCTCCGCCACCCCACGCCCAGTGGGGTGAGCAGTGTGGATGATCTTATGAATCAACCTCCAGCTGTACTTGGTGGCATTTCTTACATCCTCCAGGCCCTTCCCTAGCTCCTGTCCAATTAGGTTTCCACAGTGGACATCATTTTACAGATCGCACTGAGAAACAGTGTGGACATGACTTGAGAGACTGGTAGACAAGTGTTGAGAGTTGGGAAAACGTCAACCCAGCACATTCCAGACTACACACACAGCCAGGACTTCACAGAGCAAGGTGACCTTTACCACAGAGCCCGAGATTCTGGGGATGAGCAGTGATCACACTTATCACCCCAGGGCCCCACGTCAACAGGTAAAACAGACTGAAGACCTGACATGCAAACAGTCCTCACGGAGCATAAGGTCCACACAATACAACCACTGGGGGTATTGAAGAAAGAAATGTGAGCGACCAGCCCAGGGGGGAGCAAGAGATAGAAAGGTGGTTAACAGAGATGGTGCCACTTCTTAAAAATAATAATTGAGGTTTGCATCAATCTGAAGACAGTGCAAAGAGCAAGATCTCCGGACCATACCAGCCCTTGAACCACATGCTTGAAGGAAATGACATTTTCCTTTTTAATGTATTTTCAAACCAAACCACTTGACGTCAAGTTGATCCCAACTTACGGTGGCCACCCTGGAGCATGGGTAGAATTGTTCTACACGGTTGTTCTTGCTTGTTGGCTTTTTTATAACAGTGAAAATATACACAACACCTTCTCTATGTCAGCACGTTTCCTACTTATGATTCAGGGACATTGAATACATTCTTCATTCAAGTTGTGTTTTGAATCTGAATTCAAATGCTGCAGGTAGGATGCAGGCGGTGCGTGAGCCCAGCATTGCAACCACTGTCCCCACCCATTTCTTTGAGGACCTTTCTCTAAAGATTGACTGGTTCAGATAACATGCCCAAAGTATGTGAGGCTCACAGTATTAGGTCCTATGAAGTTCACCATGAAAAAAAGACATAGAAAGTCTTGCACCAATGCTCCTAGGAAAATAAAAGGTTATGTTGCTAAAATTCTTTGGTCACAACATTTCTGTCAACCTGTAAATATACAATCTTGCTTTATGTATACTCCTGCTTAAAGATACTTCGTTTAATATCTATTATTGATTCAGCAACATTGAACTCATGGCCAACAACACTGTGACCCATGTGTTATCTAATCCCTGTGTTTCTCTATCAGGGCTACCACAGCCTTCCTGTGCTTAGGACCATTAGAGTAACACTTCAACACTACTCCTGGGGTCGCTCAAAGGAGTAAAATCACCAAGGACAATCCACAAAAATGAAAACTAAAACAACAACAAACACAAACGAACCAAACCCAATGGCACCAACTAACTGACTGTAAAAAGGACACTAGTTTACAAGATGATGCTGTAAACAAACAGTAGGCAGAGTGTCACCTTGCTCAGGCCCCAGCTGAGATATGCATAGAAGGTAGCTCACAATTCTGCTACACTGTGTGTGTCCACAACTATGCACGAGCAGGCCACATGTACTGATGGGGCAGGGGGAGGTTTACAAATAACAACAGAATCAGTGACTGGCGAAGACGGACGGCAGACAAGAAATGAAAGCAAGAGAATGGCTAGAGCTGTCCAGGGAGAGGACGTCAGGTGAGCTCTACCGACAGATTCCACATGAAATCTGGTTCACAAATTGATTCCTGAATGTTGATTCAAAGATCAGAACTAGAAAGCAACAGGGATGAGAGTGGAAGAAACCTGGAGAGCCCAGAGTCAAGGAGCCTTCAGAAAGGGGGGCTGGTCATCAGGGTCACGTGCAGCCTCTGTTAGGCAGTCTTTTGCTTCAGTCTTAATATACTTACGGGACTGAGAAAACAGCCAGCGATTATACCCATTTGTTGTTTGAGGACTAGTTTCTCACTTGAAAAACTGGATACCAATCTGCTTCTGGGAAGAACTCTGAGGTTTGAGCTTTACCTTAACTCTCCCCCAAACTAGTTTTGTTCCATGGAATTATGGGCGCTGAACAAGCACAGACATGCCTTATAAATACTGTGGGTTCAGTTCCAGCCCCCTTCAATAATAAATACTGCAATTAGCAAGACACATGACTTTGCTGGTTTCCCAGGGCGTTTGAAAGTTGACACTAGAATGTAGTCTACTAAGTGTGCCAAGAGCATGATGGGAAAGTCTGAAAGATTGTGATGAGCTAAGTGGAACACAGAGACATGAAGTGAGCACGGGCCGTTGGGGAAATGACACCAACAGACTTGCTCCACAAGGGAGCTCTCATGGCCTAGAGGCAAGAAGCTGCACTGCAATCCCAGAGGTACGAGGTTCAAATCTACCAGATGCTCTGCGAGAGAAGGAGGGGCAACCTCCTCCTGTACTAGTCAGACTTGCTCCACGCAGGGCTGCCACACACCTTCCATTTGTGTAAAATGCAGTGGGTGCAAAACGTGATAAAGCCAAGTACGAGAAAACGTGGCTTGCCTGTATGTGCACGAGATCACTCTGACCTCACACGCCAGGGCCAGCCAGGTAACAAGCATCTCCCAGCATCACTTGGGACAGTACAAAGCCCCAGGGCACCAGCTGTGCAGTTGCGGGCTTACCTGGCACTTTCAAAGGTGGCAGATGCAGTCTTCTCTATGGCCCCGAATCCAACTCCAACCGCGAGACCCTCTGAAACATATCAAAATCACCACGTGTTAGGATTCGTTTTCTAAGAAGGTACCTCAGCGCCCATGTATCAGGTAAGACTCCATTCCACCCAGAGTCCAGCTGCCATGTCAATTTCAACTCAGTGTGACCCCCCAGGACAGAGCAGGGCTGCCCCACAGTTTCTAAGCGGCCAGTCTTCTAAGAGACAGACTCTCACATCTTCCTCCTGAAGAGCAGCTGATGGGTTTGAACTGCTGACATGCTGGGTTAGCCGCCCAGTGCTTAACTCATTGTGACACCAGGGATCTGAGAACCACACATTCCACCTGCCAGGAGTTTAATAAAACCCCAGCAAATGGGCCAAATCACCCTCATAACTTGCTTAAATGTGACTGAAAAGCTAACAAGAGTTTTTACACTTTCATACGGTTGAAATAAAAATCAAAGAAACACTATTTCACGCACATGAAAATGCTATAGAACACAAATTCTAGTGTCCATAAAGTTTTATTGGCACACAGTTAGCACGCTCATCCTTGATGTAACGTCTGTGGCTGTTTCTGTAACAGAAACAAAGCCTTTAACATTTATTATCTGACATTTTACAGAGTTTGATGACCCCTTACCTAAACACATACATTTAAATAGTTCTACAGCTAGTATCCTATCACTCACAACATTGTACTTCAGGAAGGATACTGAAATTTCCTTTTTTTTTAAAATTTTTTATTTGTGTGTGTGCATGTACCGTCAAATCAGATCTGACTGGTACAGGAGGAGATT